AGATGCGACACTAGTGGGGTAGCATGTATTATGTGCTGTCACTGCCCTCAGTTGTAGCATTTTTTAAAGTTGCTGGATAAATGCAACTTGTCTATGCAAGAGAGCTTTGGAATGCTGGACATAATAGAAAAGACCTTGGAGTGAAAAGGAAGGGTACTTTGTGTATGTGAGTGAGCATTCTGCAAGCATAGATACTCCTTGGCTGCTGGCAAATGTGCCTCTTTCTACAAATGGAAATTTGTTAAAGTATGAGAACAGGAAACTTGCTTCTTATCTGTCTTTACTTGTTCTTATTGGACTGCTAGCTGTGAGGATGGATTGATTTAAATCAGATTTCCTGTCTTGTAAATTGGGCATTTGCTGAATAAATATGCCTCATTGGTTGCTGTCATAATTAAAACACACTGATCTATAGCTAAGTAATGCTTATATGCAGAATACCTAGGTGCATAAAGACTTAGTGAAAGAGATTCAACTATCAAATTGTTTGGATTTTTGCATGTAAGGACACTATGCAATACAGTGGTACCTCTGGTTAAGAACTTAATTCATTCCGGAGGTCTGTTCTTAACCTGAGGTACTACTTTAGCTAATGAGGCCTCCCGCTGCTGCCGTGTGATTTCTGTCCTCATCCTGAAGCAGCGTTCTTAACCCAGGTTACTACTTCTGGGTTAGCGGAGTCTGTAACCTGAAGTGTTTGTAACCCAAGGTACCACTGTATCACTTATATGAACATATAGACCATAGAGAGTTAAGTGTGTTGTTTTTTGGCACAAACATACCAAACCACCTAGAAGCAAAAGTGGTAATTAATTGGGCAAAAGCAGTATTTTTCCATAACATGTAAATAAATTTCCATGTTAATCATAAATTTCATAATTTGCCAAAACAGCAAATGTGGTACATGGCCTACTGCATTGTATTTGTAATGATCAGAAATCTCTCATATATATTCATACACACACACACACACACACACACACACACACACACACACATATATATAGGCTTTTTGATAAACTCACACTGAAGGGAAGTATAGATTTTAACTTGTATGTTTTAAATTTAAATTTCATATTGACCCATATTTTTAAAACCACACTTTTTAAAAAATAGAAAAAAATTACCGTAGTTGGTTTCATTCATTCAGCTGGGTAGACTTCTGTCCTAAATTTCAAGAAAGAAAAGTAAACATTTTGTTTTTAAGGCTTTTGTAGTGTTCGGAATGTATTTGGCTTCAGGTTTCTGTGTGTTGTGGAAGTTTTTGATATCCCTGTCAGCGAGAGAGCGAGGCCCAAGTTCCTATGGATAAAGTATACAAAACTTTGAACCTCGCTTCTCCCAGCGTGAAATTGATTTTGGTCCCCAGTACGTCTGGACCACTAGTTATTCCAGTGACTTTAGGGGGAAAATTAGATGTGGTAGGACAACCACAGGACCAATTCCTGAAGTCTTGCACATATTTTAACACTTTGTAGCGCACTTATCCCAGTTCCTATGTTCTTATTCTCTGCATGGGAGTTATTAGTGGCTAATTATCAGGCCATCATGGTTCATTATGATTCTTTTTTTATGGTGTAATCTCTTCTCCACAGTTAATTGTGTTCTTGGGAGCAAAAGGTCAGACTTTTTTGACTACTAGAAAGAAAGAGGTCAAGATGAGAGAATAACACATGCCCTAAGAGCTTAAGATATTTCAAATGCAGCCGCTTGACCTTGCAGAGTCACTTATGGTTAAGGATGACATGATTACTTCCAGAGATTCTGCTGAAGTTCCTTGGCTTACACTTTAGATCTTCTGTTCATAAATCTGATTAATAACTAGAATGTGATTGAAGTGTATAGCTTATTTGATGTAACTTTGCATCAGTCAAACAGTCATACACATACAGTAGCTGCCTTTCTTTTCTTTCTTTTCTTTTCTTCCATTTCTTAAAAAAGTGTCCTAAGAATTGGTCCACTTTGTATACTCCTTCAATACTTTTCAAAAGTGTCTAAATTCTTATGGGAGAGTTCCAGTGGCTCTCTTTCCCCTGTACACCTTTTTGAGGTGCACATATACTAAAGAACTTGCAAACTGCTTTCTAACCCAGCTGCAAATTTACACTGTTATGACACTCTGGCTTGGAACCGAGGGTTGCAAAATTCTCAATATACCTGCAAGTTGAGATCCCAGTTTCTTGCCCTTCATTACACTACATATTCCACAGTAGGTCACTTTACAGTTTATATGGTAGACATGTTTGCACTCTCTGGCACCATGTCTGGCGATAGACACCATTATTTATACTTAAATACATTGCCAGTCCTTTATTATTTTTGTCAAGGTGGCTGCAATAAAATATCAAATATAGCAGTCAACAATAAAAACATTGCAAAGTACAATAACTAAAATACAAAGATAGCAATAGAAATGGTAAGAAAAGTGGCTCGGTTGCTTAATCGGAACTATAACGCTTTAACTTGCCCCTAAAACTGAAGACAAGAGGAATGCAAGTAGTGTTTCTTGGGGGAAAGTGTTGAAAAGACTTTGAATGTTCATGGAAAAGTTGCCACTTAATGTAGTTACTCAACAGGTAGATCAAATAGGATCTGCAACACAGTACTGCAGTGCATCCTCACCCCCTAACAAGAGTGCTCAGGGTATCAGCCATAGTTCTGCATTACTAAGCCTTCAAGATACTGTAATCTGTAAGGGGCTTACGTGGGCCAATTCTCTCACTGTTTCACACACATTCGTGTACACATGCACACACTTTCCCAGTTTTATTTTCTGACGCTTAACATTCTGGAAGCTATAGCATACCTGCTGGTCTGTTGGTGGTTTTCGTTTTGGATTTTTATTTGGTTTTTTTGTGTGTTTGCTGATGTATCCCTCTTTGCAGTGGCACCAATTTGACTCTTAAGCCTTTTGTCACTGAATCGCCCGAGTTTGCTATTGATGTTATGCAGCAGGCCTTCCCTGCCTATGTTGGCAGGTGTGGGGGGAAGCATTCTTGCAGGTGTAGTGTTCCAGACTTTTCAAGGCTTTAAAGGTGGTGGTCTGCACCTTGAATTGAGCTAGAAAATAATTGCCAGCTAGTGCAACTTGGAGTGGTCTTGGGATTCCCTGTTTGAAGCGAAGCCTGTCCATAAAAAACCAGGTGGTAGTGGGCACATATTGGGGAATTTCAGTTGTCTGTAGTTCCCTGGCAAATGCTAGCCATATACATGCCAAACTAGTTTTCCCTAACAATACAGTACCATTCTCAGATACTATGGCACTGAGAATGGCCATGCATGAATAATCTCATCTTTCCCACCAGTTTTGTAGAGGACTGAATATTTCTTGAGGTTCCCCACGTAGATGTGTTTGGGTTGTGCACAACCATTTATGTGCGCAGTGATGGGAAATAAACTGATTTAAATTGCAAAAATGGCCCAGAAAGAGCAGAAAAAAGGCCCGAAAAGAGCAGGAAAACAACTAGCAGTTCCAGGAGCCTTTGCAACTGTGATCCCACGAGTCTTTGAACTGACCTTTCAAGGCCTGTGGAGAGTTGGAGTTTGAGAAAGGAGGTTTGGAGGGAGTGATTGTGGTGGAGTTTAGTGGATTTTTGGTGGCGCTTGGTGAAGTTTAGAAGGTATTTACAGACTTTTTAGATGGTGTTCTCCATGATACACGATTTCACATATACTAGCGGTACCCAGAAATGTAACCCCCATGTAAGTGGGGAGACGCCTATACAGTGGTACCTCAGGTTACATACGCTTCAGGTTACATACATTTCAGGTTACAGACTCCGCTAACCCAGAAATAGTGCTTCAGGTTAAGAACTTTGCTTCAGGATGAGAACAAAAATCGTGCTCCTGTGGCGCAGCAGCAGCAGGCGGCCCCATTAGCTAAAGTGGTGCTTCAGGTTAAGAACAGTTTCAGGTTAAGAACGGACCTCCGGAACGAATTAAGTACTTAACCCGAGGTACCACTGTACAGACAAATCCAACAACAGAAAGATGCAGTCAGCTGAAAAATGGGATTGCAAGCAGTTGTCTCTTCTACTCGCCCAATACGGGGTTATTTCTGAATGTCAGAATGCATGCGGGTATCCCTTCAGCTGCACTTGCTTTTAGTAGATAAATTTTGTTTTAAATGAATGAGGAAAAGTGTTAAACCCAATCAACAATGTAAGATGAGGCTGGAAGACTGTGCAGGATAAAAAGTCTGTGGATAATGCTGTGGATTGTGTAGTAGATCCATAGCAACTTGGAAACGCACAAGAATGTGTTCATGGTCCCTAAGTTTTGTCCTTTCTTCTGGAATCTTTGCTCTCACTTTTTTAGCTATATTTATGTCATGCGCTGTGGGTAAAACCTCAGCGCCTAGGACTTGCCGATCGCATGGTCGGCGGTTCGAATCCCCGCGGCGGGGTGCGCTCCCGCTGCTTGGTCCCAGCGCCTGCCAACCTAGCAGTTCGAAAGCACCCCCGGGTGCAAGTAGATAAATAGGGACCGCTTACTAGCGGGAAGGTAAACGGCGTTTCCGTGTGCTGCGCTGGCTCGCCAGATGCAGCTTGTCACGCTGGCCACGTGACCCGGAAGTGTCTCCGGACAGCGCTGGCTCCCAGCCTCTAGAGTGAGATGAGCGCACAACCCTAGAGTCTGTCAAGACTGGCCCGTACGGGCAGGGGTACCTTTACCTTTACCTATGTCATGCAAACATAGCTTTTTAAAGCATAAGCTACTTTGAGCTGGTAGTGCACTTTCCAAATAGATTATTGACATTTCAGTGAGACTTGCTTCACAACTTTATGCATCAATAGTGTTTGGTGTAGCTCTTACAGCACTTGCCACAGTAAATACATAACGTTAAAGGAGACAAAATATATTCCCTCCAACACTTGTGAGCTTATGGTTATGCAATGTAGTTCCCTGACTTTATTTTTCTTGCCAAAGCAAATAAAATTACCCTGTAAAGCATGCCATACCATGTAGAGTTAAATAATTTGTTCGTTTTCTGTCTGCAGGTTTGGACTGAGCAACAAATTTGAAGCAGAATTTCCTTCGTCCTTAACAGGAAAAGTAAGTATCCGTGGATTGAAATTGATAAGGAGAGTTGACAGAGATTGTAATTTTGTGAGTTTAATGTTGCTTTTAAAACAGAAATGGATTTGTTAATGTAAATCAGACATTAGATTTATCACAATGCTTCATGGTTCTTTCTTGCAGGTTGCACCTGAGGAGTTTAAAGCCAGCATCAGCAGAGTGAACAGCTGTCTTAAGAAGAACCTTCCGGTCAATGTCCGATGGCTGCTTTGTGGCTGCCTTTGTTGCTGCTGTACTTTAGGTTGTAGTATGTGGCCAGTGATTTGCCTCAGTAAAAGAGTAAGTTTGATCATACTCATTGCCACATGGGTTATCATATAACCTCAGCTTCCAAGTTCAAGACTTCTTTCCTCTGTGCCTTATTCTGCTTTACAAATACTTTTTTTTAATGTTAATTTTGAATGTTAATGTTACTTTCCTAGGCTTGCTTAACACAGTGGTTTCAACTTCTATAGTGGCTGAAGGTACATAGAAAACTAACACTAGCCACTGGATCAACTGTTAAATGTGAATATAAAGATTTTATCGATTTTGTGTTAGTTTGTCTTCATGTAACTGTTGAACTGAGGGAATGGTACTGTAATTTCCATCAGAGGCTTTTGTTATTTTTTCTAAGTTGCTTAGACATATCGTTGCCCACTTGGATAGGATCTACCATGACTGTAATTTAATTGATTTGAATATTTTATAATTTCTGTAACTTGCCCTGGGATTTATGGTGAAGGGTGGGTAGGAATTCTAACAAGTGAATGTACATTGAAAAGTTGCATATATAACTAGCCACCAAACACAAGATCTCTAAATTCTGTTGACACTCTGCCACTCAACATTGACATGATGTCCACAGATTTTCCTCATGCATAAACCTGAGATGAAGGCTTTTCACGGTTCCTAGTACAGTGGTACCTTGGTTTACGAACTTAATCCGCTCCAGAAGTCCGTTCTTAAACCATAGCATTATTAAACCAAGGCATGCTTTCCCATAGTAGCGGGGGACTCAATTTACAAATGGAACACACTCAACAGGAAGCGAAACATGTTCTTATTCCAAGGGAAAGTTCACAAACCAAAACACCTACTTTCAGGTTTGCATCATTCTTAATCCAAGTTGCTCATAAACCAAGCTGTTCTTAAACCAAGGTACCACTGTATTTAAATCCTAGCAGCTAGGTCTCATCTATATGCAAATTACAAAATAAAGCTGGAACAAGAAAAAAAAAGTTTTTGGTGCACTCTAAAGTTTCATTACACATTGTTCTTAAAGACTACTGTATTATGTATTTGAGCTCTTTAGCAATTGAAGTACTTAAGTTAATGCCCACTTTGTGCTTTAGAATGGGTTGTACCAAATCTGAAAACGGTTGTTTTGCATTTACTGGCAGGGGGACATAGGATTTTCATATGATGCAGGTGACTGCTGAAGGAAAAGTGTTACATTTAGTATAAAGATTACATTCAATCTGGAATTTTAAATGATTTAATTTAAATTGTAATTTTTTTAATCTAGCGAGGGAAAAGACTACTTCATTGTTACATTAGGCTTGTTTAGCTTTTTACTCAATAGAAAATAGGTAGAAAAGGCTGCAAATCTGTGCATTCATGCTTAGGAGTTAGTTTCACTGAACTCAGTAAGACTCCTTTAGCAAACATGCATAGGATAAATCCACAAGTGTATCGTGTACAAGTGTATCATGTCGCTCTCTAGTTCCTGTATCAAACCCTGTTTGATGCAGCTTACATAAATAATTGTGTATAGTTTCACAATAAGAGTGATTTTTAACTAAAAAATAAATTTCATGGTTAACTATGATGTAGAAAGAAGAAACAACCGCCACGTTTACCTTTTAAAATTTCCTAGTAAACTTTCTTCCACTTAACTTTTGCATCGTTGTTGTTAGCAAATAATGTGCTCTCTAGTATGCCACTGATGGAAAATCTACCAGGGTTGTCATCCCCGTCAGCTGGGAAAGTTACTCAAATCAAGAGTCCCTTTTGGGTTTTGAATGTCCTCACCTGCTCCTCACTGTAAATCATTGAGATGTCAAGTGCGGTGATTAATTAAGCTGCACGTGCAAGTCTTTCCCCCCCCTTCACCTGTCAAGTAGGGAAAAGGAAGCTTGGTGTCGAGAATTGCGCGACGCTCTTTAATTCACTTTTTCTTCCCCCGGCTGAGAGGTACTTGCTAATGTTTCATTTAAACTTTCATTCACCTTTTGTATGGCTGACGGGGTTGGGTATTGTTGAGTGATTTTATAAATGTTGCAAGCTGTTTGTACATGCAACGACTTACAAATAATAATTTACAAAATTAGTATTTGTAGGGGGGGAAAACTTACATGCTTGAGGTATACAACAGTGTTACCTACACTTAGGCTTTGGCAATAGAGTGTGTTAAAACTGAAATACGAGTGATGCACAATTTGTCTTCTACATCTGTGTTGCCTGCTTAATACTAACTGCTAATAATTTGTTTTAAGCTGGCTAATATGTTTCCTTCAAATTCAGTGCCCTTTCTAACTTCATAGTTAAGTCCTTCATTCCCTCAATACGAGTAACAATAGTTGAATGTTAAAATTTGTTTCATTAAAAGATGTCTCTGCGTAGTGCTGCATTAAGTTTCTGTATTCACTTTCCTTTCTAGGGTGCAAAGTGTTTTAACTCCCCTAGTATTTGGGAAGCTGGTTTCTTTTCTGTCTTTTCTCCTTCCTCTCCGTGCAGGCAGTGAAATTTAAATTGTACAGCAGTCTTAATCTATTATTTAAAAGGTTCTAGCAAGGAAGATTACAAGGTAGCTTCACATTTTTGAATCGGTTTTGCCATTGGTTTAGCAGCGGGTGGGCAGGCAGATGCCTGCTCGGAGTAGAACCTATTGCCATTTTTCACCATTGATAGAGTAGCCTTTCAGAGTCAATGAGCTCTGTCAATGTGAGCTTGTCAAGGCTACAACTTCATAGACCTGAGAGGCGGTTTGAGAGGTCAGCCCTTTTCAGGTTTGCTGTGATGCAAATGAGCTTTAATGCTTAAACAACTATTGGAATTTTTATGTCTGCTCCTTGTTCTTTTTTCTTCACAAAGTCATTGACGAGACATTCAGTGCTTTTTAAATTGGAAGTTGCATTGTGCTAAAGACCTAGTACAGATTTACGGAGGGCTGAAAGCAGTTAGATCATGTTCTTTTCATGGTGCGATTAGAATCAAATCGATTTCCCTACAGCCTTCAGCATTCAGATGGCAATTTTAACAAAGCTTAGGGGGCTAGACAAGGGACAAAACGACTGAACTGAATGTTAATTACACTCTGCAGCCTTATTTTCTTTTGATTTGGAGCTGACTGGCAACTAAATTAACAAAAGTGTGACCATAACTGCTGCCCTATTTTCATTTAAAAGGAGAGCAGACTCTAAAAGGCTATCTTGACAAAGAAACAAGTGAGGTCTGCTGATCATTGTTAGAGGGCAGGCACTGTCTTTAATAAAATAAAATAAAAAGTATTGGCCAAAAGGAACAGAACTTTAAAAAACAATGTAATGACTTTGTCCTTGCTATTAAAATGTGCCCCAGGGTTCTTGGGAATCCCTTCTATTTTTGAAATATAATGAAAAGGTAAGGAAAAAAAAATCCTAATAATTATTCATGTCTAACAAAGTTGATTCTTTCAAGTAGCTAGAGTTCAGGTTTATGCTCTTGTGATTGTTATAAATGAAAAGAAACCACTATATGTATTTTTTGCCTTTCGTGTATATTCAGTAGGTTTGATGATGAATGCTTTTAAGTAGTTCTTAAAAAAACATGCTTGTTCACTTGCTGCACCAGTGTGCATTTTGTAGCACCTCTTGTTTAGCAGTAGTTGAAGTGAAAGATGCTTCTCAGCCCCCCCCTTTCCCCCTCCCCAACTTCTCTTTGCCTTGTAAGGAAGCTGCAGCTGTATGAAGTTGAATTTGCCACAAGGCTCAGTGATCCATGCCTCTGCACCTGCAACTCTGGTCTCATCTCAACACCTGGTGTTGTGATTTATCCTCCCTATTCATAAGGACTAGTAAATCCCATTTTACTACTGAGCAGTCGATGATACGGCAGTCAAGTGACCATAAACAGCAGCAGGACGTATTTCTAAATCAGAATACCAACTGCATCTTCAGAGTAGCAGATTTAGTGCAAGGGGATTTAAATAGTTCTCTTAAAGCTGGATAACTTAAATTCAAGGGACTGATCAATGTGCAGATTTCCAAATATTCTGGAACAATTTGTGTATTAATGAGAAACCGTAGATTAACATTTTAGAGCTCCAGTATGTGAAATTAGTCAACAGCACGGCATTTTGTATGAATGATAGTTATCATAACGTCTACGCACAGTATGTGGAAACTATCCCATGCTTGATCTGCAGCCTGTTTGTTTCAAGTTACTTGAATTATGGGGTAGCTTGGTTCCATTAACTTCAATGGATCTAAATTGACTCACTTAACAGTGTTAGTGAATAAAGCACTTTTGGGTTTTTTAAAAAACCTTTTATTGATGTACATCTTTGTAGATAAATATATTTTCCAGCCATTTAAATATTTCTTAGTGGTTTTTTTTTTAATTTGGTCGCTGAAACCATTTTTTGAAACACACACCCCTTTATCCTAGCTATAATTAATACCAGAAAATTTGCAGTACGTCAGACCACCCTGTACTTAAGTTGCTGTCCTTTACCACGTTTCTCTTCCACCCCAGCCACCTTTTCCACACAAAGGCAGCTGCAAAACAAACTTTTTTCCAAAGCTGCTCAAGAGTAAAATTCTTTCTCATTTGTCTTCCAGACACGAAGATCGATTGAGAAGTTATTAGAATGGGAAAACAATAGGTTATACCACAAGGTGAGTGCCGCAGGGAGCAGCTTCGTACTGCTGGGGCCTGAATTGCACAGTATGGAAACAGATGCTTTTGTTGAACGCGAAATATGAAAGCTGGACAAATGGACTAGTCTCTGTGCCGGCGATAAAACACAGCTCATTTTTCTTCCCCCTTTTTCTCCCTGTTGTCTAGCTGTGCTTGCATTGGAGGCTAAGCAAAAGGAAATGTGAATCGAATAACATGATGGAATATGTAAGTTAAAGGGCTGTTTTGTGCATTTCTCTATTAAATGATCATTTATTTTGCTTCTGATCTTATTCTTTCCACGATTATTAATCAGCAAAGGTGTCAGGAGCTTAATCGCCTGAGTGGCAAGGATTTTCTACGGTTCACAGATGTATGGTTTCATGCGCAGGGCTGATTTATAAAGTTATGAATGACTTGAAAACAAGGCTTCACTGTGTTCCGGGGGGAAAATAATAAATTAATTGCCAAGATAAAATAGCTTGAACGTGCGTTGATGGGGTGTGAAATTTTCAGATGCTGTATAAAAAGAATAACTGCAACTTCGGTTACGCAGCGAGTTAGTTGTGGACTGTTTTATATAATGCTAATCGAGTCTCAGTGTATGGAAGGAGACCTTTCAACTAAGCTGTTGGAGCTTAGGAAACCTTTAGACTTTGTCGATTTTAACTGCCCCCATACCTCAGCAGTCTTGAAAGTAGCTTGAGCTTTTACTAGCTTCATTCAAATGTTTTAAAAGTCAGGCCTGATAATAAGAGCGTGATGTGTCGGTTTTGGCTCTCATTCTCTAGCTCTAAAGATTATACAGAAGATGAGGAGGATTTCTTGAAAGACTTTTCATGGGGTGCATTTGTTTCTGTCCCCCGCACCCCACCCAGCAATCAGTCCTTGTAGTTTTTCTTATTTCATTTCACTTTGCTGCTCCTTTAAATTTTCCAGTTGTCTCTATGGAAAGTGGCATGTGATAAGATACTTAACTGCTTTAAAACAAATAAGCCCTTGCAAAATATGCTAGTATTATAATTTTTTGAAAAAACACAAGCAGGGGTTAACAATTAAATTAGGAGTAACCCCCAGTGGCATCTAGCTTTAGCTATTTCTAACACATCCATGCCTTTTAATTATATATCTTGTCTATTCTCTAACACAATACATGCATTATAGACAGTATGTTAAAAGATTGATTTAAAACAGTGCTTAAATAGTTAGAAATTATCTTAAAATCATCTTTTCTGTTAGCACTGAAAAAAAGGGGAAGTACTAAGGCCTATATCTAGCCTAAAACATAAAAGACTTCCTAAAATGCCTTTTTTCCAGAGTAGTTCTATTCAACTAACTATTTCTTTTTAACATCTATTATACTTAACATGTTAATTTATGATCATCTATTATAGTGAACATATTAATTTATGATCATAGACTCATGATAACTTCACAGTAATTGGAGGCAAGAAAGAAAATTTGACACAGGTTTTTGAGGTTGGCCTGTGTAAAGAATTCAGTTTTTTTATTTTCATTACTGAATGCTTCTGGTCTCTTAAAAATCCACTCACATTCGAGGGCCACAGTCCTCCTGAGCACATTTATGTTGAGAATGTGCCTAATTAAAATTAGTGTTTTTCAACAAGGTGTTGATGAAAGTTGCTATTGTAATTTCCAAGCCCAAGTAGAATTGTTTTTAAAAATTAGTTTAAATTCAGGTACCCCTTTAGGCAACATTTATTATTGGTGGAAATGCGATAGAGCAGTGGTTCCCAATTATCTAAGTACTGTGGACCTCCTGTTTTTCAAAAGCCAAGCCATGGACCTCCTAGTTTTGAAGATTTGGATACCTCTATGTTAGTTTTTGTTATGTGAATGGTGCCACAGACCCCCTGAATGGGTTACACGTGTGGTTCCCAATGTGGGGCACACGCCCCACAGCGGGGCAGTTTGATTTTTAAGGGGGGCAATTTGAGAATGAGTTATTAACAGTTAATGGCCTTTTAGGCTTCCTAAAGAACTTCCTAAAGAAGTTCACTTTTTGAATAATAAGAATTATATGTCATGGGGGGGCATCAAGATTTTTGAGATGCTTAGGTGGGACATGGCCAGAAAAAAGGTTGGCAACCACTGGGTTACACAGACCACCAGTTGGGAACCACTCTGATAGACCAACAGCACTGTATTTAAACTTTTTACAACTAAACTGCACACTTACTTGGTGAAAAGGGCAATGTGTTGGCTCCAAAACAGACACTTGCCATTCATGGAAGGGGAACCTTTGGGTCCATGCTATTGTCTTCAGTGGAACAATCCCCCCCCCAATGAAAATAGGCAATTTGTAGTTGAACACTACTTCTGGATCCATCTAGGAGGCCTACAGGCTTGGGTCACTTTCTGTGCTGTTCATTATAGTACAATAAGTTATTCTCAAATAGAAACACATGTGCCCTCAGAACTAGCTGAATATTAACCTTTCACAATTCCGCAAAGGGTAGTAAGCATTTGAGTAAAATGAGAGACTTGCTGCTGTACAGCATGGCAAGCATCTCAGTGTTGCCACAGTTAGGAAGGTAGATAAATTGGGAAATGGAATAAACAGATCCTCCTGCCTTACCTGTTTGTTTTCATTGGGGAGGTCATCTCTTGTCCTGCTAAAGCGTCATTTTAATTGTTGAAACAATCACATGTATAATTAGGGGCCAAATGTGGTAGTCCAAAAGAGAAACCATCTACATCTGAGGGAACATGTTTTTAGTAATCTAGCTACTTTCCTACTATTCCCCCAAGACTGTAAACCAAAATTAATTAAATGAACAGGATATAACCTCCCTGCTCCTGCTTGAAACAAAACAATACATGAAGAGATCATTCTCTGTATTCATGGATATACTCGGAACAGTTTTTAAAGTAAGAAATGTTTGTAGGTGAAGACAGTAACGCCAAAAGAAAAGGGAATGGTGGGGTTGGGGATGAAAATGTTGAAATTGTAAGCTTACCTTAATTTCAACTGAGTTACACGACTGATGTAGTCTTAGTGCTGCTTTTACATTTAACAAAACTTCCTTTTAAAGGGTCGCACTTAAATGGTTGTTAGCTTTTTGAATGCTGCTGTAATTGTTTAGGTGCACAGAAAGTCTTGCTCACTGGCATGTTTCCTTTGAAACTCTTGTAAAAATTACCTTCAGTTTCACAAGATTTTTGCCCTATGGCATTGTGGCTCTGTTAGACAATCACAGGCCAAAGTTGCCCTCATTATGCAGAACTAGTTGCCCATGTCGGTATTTTTGTATTAATAACTTTGTTTATTTTACTTGGCTAAAACCTTATGAACCAAGCAACTGATTCTTTCAAAAATTCATGAATGAGTCTTGTGCATGTATCTGTAAGCTGTCGTGCAAATAGTTAAGGCAACTAGTTCTGTGTGCACAAGGAGGGCTTTGAACTTGTCTTTTTTCACACATCAAACCAATCTTTGTGTGCCTCGTCTGTGAGGGGCCCTTTGGCTTATTAAACAATCTATTTCCTTTTAAACTGTGCTAAGTGGTGGTGGGGTTATTATATTTGTTTGTTACTACGCTGTGCATTTTTGTATCTTCATATTGTAATTTGCCCTGTGGTCCTCAGATGAAGGGTGGGATAGAAAATTAATTAATTGATGATGATGATAATTAATAATGATAGCAGCATCACAACCTCTTGCAAGAGCAAAAACATTGCACTGTGTGAAAAGGAACCACCCTGGTTCTAGGTGGTTACATGCTACACCTGCAACCCAGCCAGATGGGCGGGATAGAAATATTATTATTATTATTATTATTATTACTACTACTACTACTACTACTACTACAGTCATACCTTGGTTGTTGAACACCCTGGAACTCAGATGTTTTGGCTCCTGAATGACACAAACCTGGAAGTGATTGTTCTGGTTTGTAAATGTTCTTTTGGAACCTGAACGTCCAATGGGGCTTCCGTGGCTTCTAATTGGCTGCAGGAGCTCCCTGCAGCCAATCAGAAGACATGATTTGATTTTCGAATGTTTTGGTAGTCGAACAGACTTCCGGAACTGATTCCATTTGACTTCAAAGGTACGTCTGTACTACTACTACTACTACTAGTAGTAGTAGTACTACTACTAGTAGTAGTAGTTGCTGGGAATTGCAAGTTGGGAGAGTGCTGAAAAATGCCTGTGGGTACATGTGCCTCACATAACTATTTGGATCCCATCCATAGTTTTTCCTTTAGCACAGTAAAAGCTTTAACATTGCTGAGATGTTTAAAAATGGACAGTGCCATTAATTACTCACTAATTATATATATATTTTTCTTTCTCTCTTTTACACAGGTCATTCTTATAGAATTTTTACCAAAGACACCAATTTTCCGACCAGATTAGCATTTGCTTTACTTTAGAGACTTACCCAAGTATATTGTCTTTTTTTCCAATGGTGCCTTGCTTGGTGCTCTCCTGGTGATGATATAGCATTGGTTCTACATAATATTGTGGTTTCTTCATTCTTTTCTTTTGTAACGGCATGTTCAAAGTGCATTTTGTCAAATTTTGCGGAAGTCATTTCACGCAGACGTCAGTGTAATTTATTTCCTGTCCCTTTTCCGTTGTTGATGTATCCTGATTTTTCCAGAGACTTTATATATACATATATCTATGTATGTGTGTGTTTCTGTGTGTGTATATATACATATATAGCTATAAACATAAAACCAAAAATAGCTATAAGTGAGAAGTTATTTTTAACCCCATATAAATTGTGAAAATTGGCAATCACTTTAATCTATGCACTTGCATCTTCTCTGAATCTCTGCATATTTTGCCAGCGACATACTTGTATATATCAGAGTTTTTCCTTCTCCTTTCTGGAACGTAAATCAGCCACCTGTGAGGCGACAAGCAGCATTTCTTGACACCCAAACATTGGTTCACCTTTGCGCATTTCTCTATTCCATGAAGAAGTACCATCTGCTCTGAAGATGTTCTTCTCAAGAAACTTGAAATTGGATTGCTAGTATTCCACTAGAAGAATTTGTGATAGATTTGCATGTGTTCAGTGGTTAATACTGCTCAGGATCATAAAAATAATTAGTATTTCATGGGGGACTGGTACACACGAAAGACTGGTCAATCCTGATGTGAATAAGAGAACTGGGATTGAGGGGGAAGTGGAATTTGTGATCTCCAAACCTGCTCCCAATCTCTTAATCCTTAATCCTGGTTCAGAATAGACCAGTTTTTTGTATGTGTGCACCTACTCTGTGTGTGTGTGTGTGTGTGTGAGAGAGAGAGAGAGAGAGAGAGAGAGAGAGAGGGAGAGAGAGAGAAATTATGTATGTACATACTGTGTGGCTAATGCCATGTAACAGCTTTACTGTTTTTATTGTTTACTAGATCTAATAGTACACATGGATGCAAGCTTGTCAGAAAAATATTTGTTAAATACTTCAGTAGTTTGAGTTTTTAAATGTTGCAGTGTTTGGCTCCAGGTCAGAGAAAGGCAGTCTCAATTCCTATTGAAATTGATGGGTTACGTTAGTTGTGACTAACTTTTAAAATCCCATTAATTTCAGCGGGATTTGAGCACAGTTAAGTTCCTATAATTATTTCAGGTGGAGTCTTTGTATGTAAAACATTTACAACATTGTACCAGAAGCTACAGATGTGTTGATGATTTTTACATCTGTTTATCAGATGTGCAAATCAAAAATTAGTGATTTGGCTGAATAGCTTACTGAATGTACTGGATAAATACTTACTGCATCCCAGCTTTTTTTCTCTTTTCTATGTTTACATGGTTAGCTTTCTGTTTATTGTTTGCACAAGAAAGCATTAAAAGAAATGGACATGTGATAGTATGCTTTGGTCAGGGCAGTTTTTAGTTTTTTGGCTGTGCATATCTTCATATACTGTGTTAAAGCCTACTTAATACAACTATTTCTGAAAAGCTTGGGGTTGTTGTTTTTTTAGCTTAACGTACATGAACTATAACATATGTTAAGGGCCCATTCTTCATGTAGCAGAGCAATAATGTGAATAGCCAACAAATGCATTCTGCTTACTATTTGTACTATGAAAAGTTTACCCCACTGCAAGGATTCCATTTTCCTTCATTTAAATACAGTTTCACTTTATTGTCATTATACAGATATGTTTATTGTGTATTTTTCAATGCTTGCTGTTCATAGCAGATCTTCATTAGGAGATGCATCTTTTGTAAAGGAAAGAATTTCCAGGAAAGTATTTCAAATCACCTTTTGTCTGGGTTCTATTTTTGCATATCACAATATACAGTTCTTCCAAAATGTTCTTTTAATCTGGTAATAATTGGGCATGATCTGGCCAAAGTTAGGCATTTCTATATCACATTGATTTCAGCGGGACTCTTTCCCACTGAAAACCATGCAGTTGGCTTTGGCTGGCTCATGTGCACTGCTCTTTGCAGACAGTATCTGTCTGTATGCTTTTTAAAATATAAGGGCTTTAAAAATGTGTAGTCTTAAACAAGTATCCAAAAACGATCGTTTGCTGTCCATGATCTGCTTTTCCTTGAAGAAAGAATTATAAAGCATTTCCCCTTATCTATGAGCATTCTATTGTATGTGTTAAAACATTTGCATGCTTTGGAAACACCTTCATAATACAGACTTGGGCCATAATCTAACACAGTTTGGTTTATCTGAGGAGGCTTAATTGTGGCTAGATCTGTGCTGGATTGTGGCCTTGATTAAGACGGAAAATCCATTGGTATTGTTCAACTGACCAGAGCCTTTGTAAAAACTGGCTCCTTTCCAGAATTCTGGGGCCTTAGGCTTCTCCATTCACTTTCATAAAGGTAGGAATTCTTCTCCATCTCTTTGCATGTGCTGAGTTTCCATGTCTATCGAAGCAAATGGAGAATCCCTTGCATGTGCAAGAACTCTATCTGCATGTTGGAGTTCCTCTGTGTATGTAAGTTGCTGGTGTGCAGAGACTAGATTTTAGAGTCACCGGTGCATTATTCAGTAGAACTCCTTGTCCTATTTGTTACTTCATCCAGCAGACTTTTCGTCAAACTAATCTTCCGAAGGGCAGTTGTATACTGCCTGCTTGCAATAGGATTTGTATTTTCTGTTTTCTGTAAAGGGTACGTCTTGCATGTAAAGTTAGTTTGGACTAGGTAGACCCCAAGGAGGGAGAGAACCACTTCAATATCTCACCAACCTTCATGTCTAAGTGGGTTGAGACCATCTGTTGGGTGACTTAGCATGCGAATGACTCACACGGGTGGTCTCCTTGTGCGAACAGCAGAACCTGAAATGAGGGGTCTTGCATGTCATCACGGAGGAGAGGAATTGTGAACGTAAATCACATGCAACTTTCCTGGTCACAGATCTCATGGAAGACATCTCATGTTATGCAACTCAGGCAATCCGACCCTGTGGAGAAGCGTTACTTGCATGAGTCAGCAGGAGGAGATGGTTTCAATCCACATTTGACCACCCTCTTGGCTTCTTCTGTAACTGCTGCTTTGGCAGTCTGTTTGAATGATACGGATTGCTGCTTGTTATTTCTTGTTTTGTATACATTTCACTTACCATCTTGTTGTTTTTATCTGCTTGGCTTTTTGAAGCGTGGGTGGGGAGGGGAAGTTGGACCCTCCAGCATTTACAAGCACAAAAATGAGTAGTAGCTGAATTCTTCCAGTATGCATATTTTGAAATGTAGCTGCTAATGGGGGTTACTATATGGCTGACTTTTTAAAAAATCAACCATTTTTCATCCCATGTAGTGGTAGCAATATATTTGAAAACACGATAGTGAAAAATGCTACAAAGACGCAAACACGGAGGCAAATAAAAAATCCCAATTATTTCCCCTCAATTCCATATAAAGATATTTCAGAGGCATGTTCAGATTTATTTAAGTGAGAGTGTTGTGGGATGCCATCTAAAGGCGGCTGATACTTTTTGTTCATTTTAATGGAGCAGCTGGGTACATGCCCATAAGTATTCAAACATGGGCATTTCCCCCCAGCTTTGTAACAGTTTTTATGTGGTGCATGATGTCACAGTACAAGTTGCCCCGTCTTCATCTGAAGTTTGTTTGGTTCAGAACTGTGGATGATGCAGGAAACTGAAAACAGCCCATCAGGTGCCTCACAGACTTCCTGCTTTTACAGGCAGGTAGCAAAAATTGATATATCAAATCCCTGATAGGTTACCATATGACTTATTCCCCTGCCCTCCAGTAAAGCAAGCATTTTCGTAGTACAGGCTTTAAGAACATGTGCCCTATTATTCATTTCATAGTTACCAGGAGAGCTTAAGGCTACACACTTAACTAGAGAGCAAGTCCCATTCAACTCAAGAAGACATGCTTCTCTGAGTAACTGGCGTAGAATTGCACTGTAAACCTTTTGACAGCAAAAAACAAAATGAAAGAACCCTCTTGTAAGGATTAAGTAAGAATTAACAGCTCTCTGCCAGTTCAAATAACCTTTTTCCTTCTGTATATGTAGCACTGAAAGATGAAAGTTGCATCAAGATGTATTACTTCTCCTTAGGTAAGCAGGAGTTTGAATTCCTCCCTATATTTTGGTTCTTCAGCACATTCAGCAGTTACCTATTATTCTGTCCAAAGGCTATGCATCAGAAATTTGGTCAATGTATTCTGTATCAACACTTGCAGTTAAAAAATTGATTTGAGTGCAGTATAAGCACACGGGCAACTATAAATTGCATACTACATTTCAATTGCTCTTTGTTTTGTGCCAATTATTCCTGTCAGATGAATGGCCCAATTGAAATATTCAGTGAAAATGTGCTACTTTGGTTAGAGAATGTAACTTACCTTCAGTAGAGGGAATAACAAAGTGTTTCCTTAATGTTTCTGTGCACGGTATTTTTCACAGTTTGGGTTTCATGTCAGCCAGCTGTAATTGCTAGCATTAAATTTAGAAATAAACATGCTCCAACTGTACCATTTTCCTGAAAATTAAAATCTCAGTCTAGCAGCCTATATAAAACTTCTTAACACAAAACAAAACAAACGTATTGTACAGTATCATCTTTAGAAAGTTGAATATGGGTTTGTATTTAAATAAGCTGCCTGTTTTGATTGAATTGTAGTTTTTTTTGTTGAAAATTTAATTCCTGTTTCGTTAACATAGTTAAACATCATGCACTATGTATGTTTCAGTGAAATACATGTTTTTCAGTGTGTTACTTCCGGCTTGACACTTAAGGTTTTTGGAATACTAACACAGGGCAATTTAGAGTAGGTTATACCAATAGGACAATGCGACAAAGCATGTCATTTTGGTAGTTTGGCAGAGATATTGCAGTGGTATTGTGAGCAGCTAATATTTAGCATAGAGTGACAGTTTGATATAGGGCCAATTATTTCTAGTCCTTTCCTTCAGTCCTAAAGGCTGTGAATCTAGATGTTACATAGGTCTAGATGTTACATTTGTCATACAGACCAGCATTCCCATAGCGAATATTTTATTTCCTAGCTATTTCGCTCAGTGCAACTTACTGTACAAATTGAAGCCATCATGCAGTGAGCTCTCCTGACAGCCCTCACTGGTGTGAACTAAATCAGGAAAATTTGCTTCACGAATTCCCGGCTCCTGCAGCGGATTTCAATATACGGATAAGAACATTCCAAGGAGACTGTTCCCATTCGCGGACTCAAGTCACCTTGCATAGCGAGCCCTCAGATAACCTGCATCCAGAAAGGAGATGAACCTTCCTGTGTCAGCATGGAAAGCTTTTCCATTATGCATACCCAGTTTTGCCTTCCCAATCTGCTTCTTTCCCATTCTGCACACACAAGGAGATCTCTCAACTCATTCCTCCACTGACACCAGTTTCCGGTGGCATTCGCCTCACTAAAGTTGGAAGAGCTGAAACAACCAAGAGTCTTGTAATGAGCTGCTAATGAAAGGCAAAAGTTAGTTACAAGGCTGCTAGGAGCTTGTATAGTCATGTATACCATCCAAAGGTGAGAAGCTACAAACATTGATAGCAAGAATTAATTAGAATGTTTGATATTTTCCCAGTATACCCTACTGCAAAATGGGCCTGTAATGTTAGATATCCTTCTCAACAGACTAATATTGGAAGTAAGCTAAAGAGAGAATGCCAACAGCCCAGTCACATTGTTTGTTCAGAAGTAAACCCCATGGAATTGTAGACTGCAATCCAGTGTACACTTACTTCTGAGTAAACAAGCAAAGGTTTAGCTGTTAATTACTCATGCATTCCTACATTTCTCTAGATAGCACCTGTTGGCTGTAATACAGAATATATGAATATATATATAGTATTGCAAAGAGCACCTGGTTTCTTTGCGGTAATGATCCAAATGACTCTGTGACTATTTCCATGCATCCAAAATGTTTCCCAAACAGCAGCTTCCCTCCCTGCTGTAACCCATAGATGGCAAACCATTTTTGAAACAGAGGATGTTTCGAAACCTACTTGTCATATAGCATGGTAGTCTGCTGTTCAAAGCGAACTTCTTTAAAAAGAAAATATCTGCAACGAGCATGCCAAAGCCCTTGGGCGTGCTTTAAGTGGTTTTTCTGGATCCTGGCCATGGTTTTTAGCCTTTTCATACCCAGCCAATGGGAGCCCTGTGCACTTTCGGCCTTCTGGATTGTTGTCATTGTGTGTAGCTCAGTTGATTCTTCTACATGACTGACACATAGGATGCATTTGACTGTATCTTTGGAAATCCTGTTAATCTCATGTAGTATATCAGAAAATAGATATGAAATGACATTGTCTTAATCATAGATAATCTTTCATTTTGCCAGTATATGAAAACATAGTTAAAAGACCAAGCTAGAGATCATTTAATAAAAGTATCATTTTTTTTCATAAAAAGTGCATCAGATCCAAAATCTGCAGTTAGATGCTATAATTTGGGTATGAAGTGCATAGGTAGACGGGAAAGATGGATGGATTTAAAAATATATATGTGCATATTTAACCACATTTGTTACAGTTGCTTTAAGTTAATCCATTTAGCCAAATTCCACATTTTTTTTTCTAAATATCAACCATTTTTTTCCTGACCTGACCCAAATTTAGAATGTATTCCACTTGGAAGTCTCGCTAGAGAATTTCCTAAATTGTATGTTACAAACTAATAAAATTGTGAAGCTATCTTATCAAGACTTGTTTTCCTTTCTAACCTCAATATGGTGCATTCTTTTTCATTTATTTGTAGTATGCACAATCATTTTGCTTCATTTCACCAGAATGTTTTTAATTATCCCAATCCTTAGAAAGTTTACTCAGAAGTAAATCCCAGTTTTGTGAGACTTGTTTCCTAGTGAGCGTGGTTAGAATTTCAGCTAACTCTCTCTTAGATAGAAAAGAAAAAACTTATTTTGAAAACATTGCTAGTAACAAATGCCTAAAAAAGCAAAGGAAATTCAAACTTGGTGGACTCTCTTTAAACAAACAAGTTTAATGCTCATTGATGAGCTTGGCTTCCTATTCTTCAAATACATTTTTCAAAAGATGCTCAAAAATCTCTCTGGAAGTTTTGATCATGGAATAGGTCTACATTTTATGAAATCCCTTTGCAAAGGAGAGAGAATGGATGTTGCTGGAAACCTTTTAACTCGTTTCTACAAGTTGGGCTGCTCTTAAAAATCCTAAAGTGTTTTTGTCTAACAAAGTTTGAATTCACTAAGTCAGAAATCAGGAATGATCGGACATTTTGCAAAATTCTGTTTTAACAGCAATGCTCTATAAAGATTTATTTCCCCCATTTAATTTAAAAATGGTTTTCTTTTTCATATTTCTCACTTGTAAAGGGGCTTCAGAGTATGTCGGTTTCTGTCTTTTCACTTGTGTAGGAGATTGTCAGAAGTATTGTATCCTCAAAGTAAGCTCCAGCTACATATAGAGAATACAACATTAGCAGCAAAACCTCCAGTTAATATTATATCTCTGAATACTTCCTAGCGTCTTCAGTACTATTTTTAAACACATGCTTTTTTATTACATCTTCAGTAATAACCCTGGGCCATATTGTACAATACCCAAATGTTGCCCAGCGCTATAAGCAAGATCTTAAATTTAAACAACATACTCTATCTTTGTGTGATGCTTTCCCCCTTAGGAGTCCTTTTAGTTACTTTCTTTAAAAAAAAAATCCCTAACAGCCTCTTTTTATGTATAATTAAAAAAACACCCCGGAGCTACTCTGAAGCATGCAGGGTGTTGTAATTTCACTTTGCAAAGAGGTATGATACAATGTTGCTGAGCAGAAAAGCCCATGATAGATTTAATGTAGCCAATTGTTCACATCTGAAAAAAAAGAGTAACTGTTCAGTGTGAGTTAATTTTGGATTTTTTCAGCATCCCTCTTTTAGGCTTTGTGCTGCATTCTTCCAGACAAATGCGTATTCCATGCGGACCACTGTTCTGCTAAATGCTCTCAGTTCTCCCTTTGCAATCAAGATTATGTTGCTAAGGAGATCTTGCTTTTATTGGTGCCATTGATTTGTGTTAATACGTTTTGAATACCTCTCGGTATTCTTTCGTAGACAAGGCCAAAAGAAAAACTTCCCTGAGTTTCCCGATTTGCATGACAAATGGAGCGGTGGTGTAATGAAGCCGATATAAAGTGGGCAGTTGAAAAGCAACTAAAGAAGAGCACTCAAGTGAGAAATGAAGAAATGTGCCGGGACAGTCTGCGGCCTGCCTTCCCTCCAGCTGCAGGAACTGGCTTGGGCCAAAGGGAGATTCGGAGAGGGTGAAGGGAGAGAGCGCCTCCATCCGCAAAGACCACCCACTTTCTGCAGACCCAGCTCTCCGTGGATTACCTCATTGATTTAATATGGGCAATCACAAAGCAGTGGCCTAACTGAGTGAAGACTCTTCCTCCTTGGGAAAGATGGGGAGAAGCTGTCACTTTCTCTCTGTGTCCCACACCCTCTTCCTCAAAGCCCTGTCCAGTATTGAACTCCAAGCCTAGGTGTTGACGTGGAAGTTCAGAGATACAAATTGACTTCGGTGGGGTGTGCCACAGAGGGCACAGGTGGAGCTAGGTGGAGCTTCCCGACGGGAAATGGAGCTAATCCTCAGCTACCCCATAGCGCATAGTTGATTGCCAAGGTAGATCCTAACTTTCTTGGAGAAGATGAGAATCCTTCCTGTTACAGTGGTACCTCGGGTTAAGTACTTAATTCATTCTGCAGGTCTGTTCTTAACCTGAAACTGTTCTTAACCTGAAGCACCACTTTAGCTAATGGGGCCTCCTGCTGCCGCCGTGCCGTTGGAGCACGATTTTTGTTCTCATCCTGAAGCAAAGTTCTTAACCCGAGGTACTATTTCTGGGTTAACGGAGTCTGTAACCTGAAGCGTATGTAATATTGTGCGTACATTTTTTATGCACAGTGGTACCTCTGGTTACGCTTAAGAATGGACCTCCGGAACGAATTAAGTACTTAACCCGAGGTACCGTTGTAGTGTGGTGTTGGCTACACAGTAGCCTGAGTTTGTAAATTGCTCAGCTTTTGCTTACCCTCGCCAGGTACACAACCTCATACAGGGTTTAGGTGGCCTACCCAGACACACTTCTCACATACAGTCATACCTTGGTTAGTCAAATGCCTTAGTTGTCAAACAAACCAGCTCCCGAATGTCGCAAATCCGGAAGTGAGTGTTCTGGTTTGTGACCGTTTTTTGGAAGCCAAATGTCTGACGCAGCTTCCAATTGAGTGCAGGAAGCTCCTGCAGCCAATCGGAACTTGCACCTTGGTTTTTGAACTGTTCTGGGAGTCAAACAGACTCCCAGAACGGATTAAATTTGAGAACCAAGGTACCACTGTAATTCATCCCTCTTGTGAAAAAAAGGTGATAATGCAAATAGGGCATTTCTGCTGTGCATGATGGGAAGGGTCGTCCCACTATGAAAAGCCTGGTGAGTATGAATTCATATGCAGTGCTATTTTTCTAGAAAAAGAGGTGCTGGAACTCACCACAAACACCTCCCTTGTTCTCTTATAATGGGAATGGTGCCCATCTGAGAGGTGCTGGAACTGAGTTCCTGTGAAAAAACAGCCCCGGGCACATGCCTAAAATAATGAAACAAAGTCAAGGTTAGCGGTGGCCAACAACGTTGCTAGGATGGTAAGTGTCTGTAAGAACCATTCAGCTAATGTTAAGGAAGAAGCACAGATTTCTTTCCCCCCTTCCACTGGAGTTTATGTAGAAAAGCATTCCAAGGAGGCAGAGAAAATTACCTTGTAGTGTTCGGGGCTTTCCGTTGTTTCATGTAGGAGACAGGACATTGCATCAACCTTCATCATCTTTGGATGTGAGGCACCAAGGCAGGTAGATATCACCTAAGGTTCTCTCTTTGGCCTACAGCAGGGTTGAAGAACATGCAGCTCTCCAGACTTCATTCTTTCAGAGCTGTCCAGCACCTAACTTAACATGGTGATTGAGCTGTAGAGCCAGTCTCCATGTTGGAAGAATATGGTACACTGCTTTAGAAGCGGTAGTGTTTCAGGCCCCATCTTATAGAGGTGGATGAGTCAATGTGAGCAAAGCATTTCTGTTGGGATATGCCCAGAAAATGTTTTCAATTATGCAATGCATTTTGGGAGTGGGGAGAAAGTTGTAAAACTTTTTCCTGTTTACTGTAAACTGTCCACTAATAGCAAAGTAATGAAATGGCTACCAAATACCCTTAGAGCACCCGTTTTGTGCTTATGCCTTGTCACTTGAGAGACAATAAGGGGTAGACTGTTAGGGTAGATGGTGGGAGGCCCAGGTTCACATCCTCACACAGCCATGAAGCTTGCTCATTGAGCTTTGGCTAGTCATACTCTCAGACTAACCTGTATCACAGGATTGTGAGGATAAAATGGAATGGTGGAGAATGGGGTACACTACCCCCAAAATTCTTGGAGGAAGGGCATGTTGTAAAATGCAATAAAAAATATAAATATAATTTTATGGGAAACTTTTTCTTAAGTAGTGTATATGTGTAAAAACATACAGCTGGATTTTGTTAAGTGGGTTTCCAAAAATTTAAATAGTTACTGGCTATTTCTAACTTGGCGGGACATGGGTGGCGCTGTGGGTTAAACCACAGAGTCTAGGACTTGCCGATCAGAAGGTTGGCATTTGGAATCCCCACGACGGGGTGAGCTCCCGTTGCTTGATCCCTGCTCCTGCCAACCTAGCAGTTCAAAAGCACATCATAGTGCAAGTAGATAAATAGCTACCACTCCGGCGGGAAGGTAAACATGCGCTGCTCTGGTTCGCCGGAAGCAGCTTAGTCCTGCTGGCCACATGACCCGGAAGCTGTACGCCGGCTCCCTCAGCCAATAAAGCGAGATGAGTGCTGCAACCCCAGAGTCGGTCGCAACTGGACCTAATGGTCAGGGGTCCCTTTACCTTTATTTCTAGTTTGTCATCATTAAATAAAATCATAAAATAATGTCATCATTTATTTGCTCCCCATCAGCCATAAACCTTAGAAATGAAAGTTGTTTACTTGGAAATGTATGAAATTACAAGTGGATTAAATCTCATACAAAACATCCAAGAAATGATCTTAGTGCTATTGTTACGTTAAAATTCTTTGCAACTTGCTCTGTAAGGAAAATGTTAGGTCCCTCAAGGAAAATGATCAGCAGAGACTCTAAAGAACGACACTTAAAAGTTGCATGGGGTATATTAGAATTGCACTAGCCCCCTGGTAAAAAAATAAGTGTTAAAAAGGACATGAGATATTCAACATTTTCACCACTATTGTATGGCAGCATCTATTGCCAATATGTGGTTTGTGCCCAGTTCTGTTTTCTCCAGCTCATCAGAGTCAGGTGACACCATGCAATTTCTGAGCTGTTGTCTAAATTGTTGTGATAAGCTGAATGAGGACAAAGAAACTGAACTTCTTCTGATAAGGTGAAGATGCTGTGATTAGAGGGTCCAGGTCTGGGAATTTGGGGAATGCCCTGTTCTTGATGGGTTCCTCTCCTGATGAAGGAGCAAGTGTATATTCTGGAGGATTCCCCTTGGCACCATTTTGTTACTGAAGTCACTTCAGTGGCATAAAGCGCCTGCCCAGCATCTACAGCTGGTGCACCAGCTATGACCATTCTTCCACAGGAATAGCCTGGCACAGTGATTAATTAATGAC